AGTGAATTATATTAACCAAAAAAAAAAAAAAAAAAAAAACTATAAAAGGTCCAAGAAAGTTTGATAAAAGTAGTCCATATGATCTAGGCAAACATTGATTAATGACTTGTGTTGTTTCAAAATTCAAAAACGGCTTCAGTCACACTGATATTTTAGTGTTACTGAGATACTATTATAGTTTTATTCATATTTTTATTATTTTATATTTTTAGATTTTTTTTTTTCATGTTAGGTAAAGTTTTAGTCATTTTAGTGTTTTTATTTATTTATTTATTTATTTATTTTTTAAATAGGTCTATTTGGGATGCTCCGACCAGGATTTTTGCAATCGATACTGATAGGGCTGTCGTACTCGTAATACCGTCAGTATAGCGCACAATGTTTATGTTTTGTTTCTCTCCATAAGGCTATGTCCTTCTTGTTTTACACGTAATGCATGTGTGTTGAATGTTAAATACGTTTATAATGATAACGAGTGAACAGTGTGTTTTTTTTTTCACCAACTGGCTCTTTTTTTACTTAGGACTCTATGTACTATTGTGATTTGTACAGCTCCGTAGATTTGCATTTAACGAGAGAGAGAGAGAGAGAGAGAGAGAGAGAGAGAGAGAGAGAGAGAGAGAGAGAGAGAGAGAAGGTTACAGGTTAAATTGCTGGTTAAATTGTTGGTTAACTTTCAGCAATCTTTGAAAGCCTCTCAGCCAGTTTGATTCAAGGTTCGGAACTAAATGTTATACAAACAATAGCCCAGCAAGCTAATAGTCAGGTTTATGTTCTGTTATCTAGACCCTTCTTTTGACATTTTGTTCTCTTTCCTTTAGTTCCTATTTTCATGCTCTGTTTTGGTTTTATTGGTCACTTATTATGTCCTTTTTTGTTTCTGTAGTTAAGTATTAGTTTCACATATGCCTAGTTTACTTTCCTTTGTTGTACCCATGTTTATGTAGCCCTGTGTTTCAGTTGTTCTTTGTCTGTTCTCGTTTATGCACTGTGTGGTTTGCGTAAATGAATTTTGAATAACAAAAACAAAAACAAAAATTTTTGATAATATCGCAATTAAGCCACTCAATCACCACAAGGGAAATTCCTTCACAGAGACAACCCTAGATTCCGACTACAGATTTCTTGTCCTCACATTTGGCTGATGCCGCTCCTGATCAACCGCTCTGTTGATTGTCACTGCTAAACCCTTATACAATGAAGGCATTTTTAATGATTTCACATCTACCTTTAAGTGGCATAACTCATGCTCTCATTTGATAGAAAACTCCTTCAAATTTTGATCATGTTTGGAGGTTCTTTTCTTACAAGAGTGCTGAGAAAACCCCAGAAAAAATAGATTTTATTTAGTTAATATTCATGCTTGACATGATGTCGTCATGATCCCAAAGCGACTGGATCCTGGAAGTCCTATAGCTTTAGCCAACCAACATATCATGTCACTCTACATCTACTCAACATCTACGTGCTATTTTACTATGGTTTACTAATGTTTCACGAAGATACATACCAGAGCGTGGCGCAAATGCACTCCAATGGGAACTTTTTTACGGTTTTACGTCAATAAATTGTGATCATTTAGTGAGATCAGCCAAATTAAGTGACTACCGATTGAATCAGTGAATGTGATTTTCGCGGATTGATCAGAGCATCCCTAATGTCTATATAGTTTTTTTTTTTAAAAAATCTTGGCAACTGAAATAAGTTTGTTTTATTTTTAGATTTTGACGTTAAAGTTAACGTTTATTTTATTGAATCAACAACAAAACTGTTTTTTTATGGTTTTAGTTTTTGTTAACTATTAGAATACATTCACTTACATTATATAAAAAAAGGAAAGGATTACCGATAAGTTTTCGATAGTAGAATGTTTAGCTGTATATTTAGTACTGTAGTAGTACCAAAACACACAGAGCTGCAAAGTATGCTATGCTGGTAGCCTAATGATTAAGAGGTGGGTTTGCTGACTCACAGATTGCAAGTGAAGGTCTTAAGTAGAGGTGACTGAGTAATTGCAGTCACTAAGCTCAAAATCCTGCTATTTCTTCATTGTGCACTCATAGGGTCTGAACACCTTAAAGTTCCAGAAGGATTATTAGAGTTACTGTACTGTGAAGTGTGAATAGTTTTGAATTGAATGTGCAAAAATGTCTTGCAGTTCATTCTGAAAGTAAAATATTTTATTAATAAAAGTAATGATTTCTAATTTTATAATGATGTTAAAAAATTACATGGCTATTTATATGTATATATATATATATATATATATATATATATATATATATATATATATAACTATTTAATTTAACTTAGCAAACTTAGAAACACACAAACACAAATTTTAGCTAAATAATTGACTTATTAGAGTAAGTCACTAGAGAAAAATGCTATTCAAAGTACTTACGATTTGATTTTTGTGATTTTGTTTAGGTTTGTTTTTATTACGAAATTTAAATTCCTTAATGAGCTCTAAGTGTGTAATTAAGCAGATCGTATTCCCCCACTCCCAAGTGTGCACACTTGTTTAGGATCCGTCTAATGAGTTTTGTTTTGATGTGTTTATTTCATTTCAATCACAGCCCTTTCTTGTTCTCATCACTCGCTATTATGCTATTGATATGGGGCAGAGCAAATAGCGGAGCGTACATATCCTCATTAGAAGCGAGTGTTTTTGTGATGGGAGGCGAGGTTCCGTGCTGCTGCTTGACTAATAGGGGTTGGCTGGGGCCCCTGAGGAGTCTCTAATGACTGCCTGTGTCAGATTCCCTTACAGCCGGGCTCGTGGCACAGACACAAGGAGCTGCCCGGAGCTATGTGCGTGTATATGTGTGTGTTTGTGTGAAAGGGTAGGTGTCACAAATACATAAAGTCTCAGCCAGCTGCTTCTTGTTATTGAAACTCACATATTAATTGAGAGGACACTCTCAAATTAGCTGTTGATTTCTGAAATAGGCTACTGTAATTTGACTTCAGATCATTATTATAGATTTGTTTATGAAAGAGAAAGAAGACAGGATTGTGACATAAAACAAGACTGATTTGGTTTTGAACCTCTCAAGACCGCCCTCACCCTGAAGCATGTATGCCAACCACTAGGTCATGGCTCTGATGTTTTTGCTGTATAATTTTGTTGTGTAAGAACTTTGTCTAGTTAAGTGTAAAGAGATGCTCATTTCTATGTGGTGCTATCTGTGCCCAAAGGGTCAAACAGGCAGAGCAGATGTATTTAAGCTCAGCTTGGAGAGCATCATCAATAACTCATAGGCGTAATAAACCCTTTTTTGGGATTTATTCTCATTTATTATGAAGGTTAGGATTTTGAATGTAAAATAGTTTCTTTTTTTTTTTTATTCTCGATTTTATTCTACTTACTCTTTTTTTTTTTTATTTAGGCATACAACTTTTGGGGATACCTGAGGATATTAATAAAAAAAAGCTTGCTTTTGTACTCTATTTGCATTATCTTCATAGAATTTGGACTCTTATGCCAAAACACCTTCACAATTACGAATGTCATTTACAGGCATAAAAAGGTCAGGCATTATGTAACAAAATATCAAACCTAGTGGCATTTATTTTAAAGAAATATGGCATAAACATACTTTTTAAACCAAAATAAGTTTGACTTTTAAATTATGAAATATTAATACTATTTAAAATATAGTAAATATATAGATGCTATTTTGCTTGATGAGAACTGACTTCATTCATCCACTAAAAATTACACCATTTGGTACCATTGCTTAAAAATCATTATAAATAAATTGTAAAATGCATGTAAAAGCTCTAGTAGCATTTGTTTCCAGATTCCACTTGGTTTGATATTTTGGTTTCTAATGAAATGACATTCAGATATTTTAAGTGTAACTAAAGTGTCCAAACGTTTCCATATATTATTTCATGCCACTGTATATTTGTCCCGTTTAATTTGGGCTATTGAATATGTATTTAAAATGAAACCTTAAAACCTTACGAAAATACACGCATTTGTTTTTTTTACTCTTAACTCTTAAATCATTAGTAGTGTATGCAGTTATCACATGTGATCCATTCCACGTTATGATGCAGATAGAGATGCCTGTGCCATCCTCTTGAAGTCTGCTCATCAACTGCATCACCACTATTGTACCCCTCTTTCAAATGCTCATTAGGCAAAATGCCAGAAGTCTGTCAACTTTTAACACCAATAACAGGATGCTCAGTTGGGTCCATCCCCAGGAGCTGCCACCGAGAGCTTTCTTTTGTCTGTAGGTTACTTTTTTTTTTCTGTGTGAATTGTCATGCAGCTTTTCACAGTCTGCCACATGTCCTCTATAGATTTTTGCCCATTTATTGCTGAGAAAATCTTGTAACCTTCAGCGAACGGATGAATTACAAGGCGGCAGCCTGACCGACAGACAAACGGAAGGGTATATCCCTCCTCTGGCCTCTTGCAGGACCTTACAGGAGAATTGGCAATGTCAAGGGATGAGGATTTGAGAGTCAAGTGTTGCTGAATGGGAGCGTTGGTGGTCTGGGTGCAGCTGCCTCGAGAACAAGTGGAAGAAATGCAGAGACAGCGAGAGTTGCGCGCCCCATGGAAGCGGACCTCTCCTTACTTTTGTCTTTCATCGTGTGGGCCGGGCGCTGAAAAGCTTGGCAGCGCCTGTGACTCCAGGCAGCTAAGCTAGCAGCTCCTAGCACTCAGTATGCAGCCAAAGTGCTGGAATGACAACGACTCCATTCATTATGGAGGTAGAGGCAAAGGCTGTGGATCTCCTCTGTCTGTTTTGTAGAATGGGGGATACAGAAGAGGAGGGGGCGCTTTCCCCAACTCGCAGTACAACGGACGAGGTAAGGATGAGGTAAGGGAGCGAGAGAGGGAGAGAGAAACAGAAAGGGAGGGAGAGGGAGTGAGCTAGAAAGTGGCAGCGGTGGAGGGGGACCTTCCATGCCGAGTGATTGAAAGAGGCGGAGAGGAAGCAGAACTCCATCAGATGAAATGAGGTGAAAATAATTCAGGCATTAATCAAGCCTGGCCAAAAGGAGGCTGTCCCCAACCAACTCCCCCCCAACCACCCACCCCCCCGTCCTCGCTGCGGAAGCAAACGGAGAGGTGTGAATGAAGAACTCGAGAGTTGAGACGAGAGAACTACTGGGCACTATCGAATCATGTCGGAGTCCAACAGCAACGCAGCTTGTTTGGCTGATCAGGTCAGTTGTGTTTTTGTCATGTTGTGCTGTTTTGAAACATGCAGCATTTTCGTTTTCTCTAGCTGTTGAGCTCTGCCGAGAGGGAAATTTGAAAATGTTGTTTCTCTTGAGCGAGTTAGAGCGAGCACGTTACCCGACGCATCAAAGCGGCAATTGTACGAAGCTGCCCGGACGACGGTGCAGGGTCCTGAAAGAACTGAATTAATCAGGACCAAGCATTGTCTGCAGTGCCTTATTTTTCGGCCATCATTCAGGGGGCCTGTGACGACTCAATAGCCCACAGACCACGTGAGAAGCTCTTTAAAAACCAGACCACGTGTGGGCCAACTGAAAAGTTTTTATAACAAATTGCAGTGGGAAGTTCTGGCGACGCTGGTGGAAGGGTATGTGATAAAGTTTCCAAGGAAGTGGGCAGGAGAGCAGTGTTTGAGGGACAGAAGGAAGGAGGAAAGTGTATAGGCTGAAAGGAGGGCTGGCCCATATTTCTCCTTTTTTTGTCTTCCTTCTCCTCCTTTTTTTTAAGTCACCAAGGCACTTGTCACTTAAACAATCATTGGGAAGATTTATTGGAAATAAAACGTATAGATATCCTATAAGGTGCTTTGTGCCTCAGAAATTTATGTTGCTGCGCCAGTTTTGGTTGCATCCTTTCCATTGCACCTGTTTCCGTTTCTCAGTTTTATTGGAGTGTGTGAAGTAGGATAAAGTGGTGACTAAATACAAACTGATAAGACAAAATTAGGTTACTTGCTGTAGGTAACAGACAAAAGTTTTTTTCTTTCTTTTTCTTTTTTTAATTGACATTATTAGGCTGGTTTTTAGTTTTGGAATTATGTAAAATCCGGAAAAAAAAAATTGATCGTCATCTTGTTTAATCTTGATATGAATGTTGGCAGTCTTGTGGGCTTAATTAGAACCGTTTCTATCATATATCTCAAGTTCGGGGAAATGTGCAGTCTCAAATTGCATTGTCATGAATTTATATTCGTGAACAGTTTTTAAAGTGCAAATTATCTTTCATTGTTTAATTAGTACCGAGAAGCATTGACTTTGTAGTGCTATTTGATCTGGATTTTGGTCTTGCCTTAATCAGTCCTAATGTGATGTGACTCTTTGTCTTAGGGACGAGACCTTTGAAACCTCATAAGCAATGCTCACCTGACCATATCAAGTGTTTGGACCATGGCTGTCGATTTGTTTTATTTTTTATTTTTTATTTCTGTACAGCCCTTAAAAGCATTTAAACTTTACATAAACAGCACAAAACATTCAAAACTCTTTAGACAATGGGCATTTACATTTATAGAAGCCTTTAAGGGACAGTGTGTTACAGTCTGTTTAATTGGCCATTTTTTAATAGCAGACAAAAGAAGGTAATTTTTTTGTTTGTTTTCTTTAAGTTTACCTAATCTGTAAGATATCTCACTTGAGCAATTTATTATGATTCCTCACAGTATTTGACCCCTGTAACAACTATTTTATTGTACTCACTGCAAAATGGGGTTTGATGAGGTGTACTGATTTATTTGATGAACCCCGAGAGGCATCCCAGACTCAGGTGTCCAGCTGTAGAGCTCACTGATTTATCATACAGAGGAGCAGGTGCATCTGCCAGAGCCACAGCCTCCAGCCTCCAAACCCCTCATGTGTACTTGTGCATACGGTGGTGAAACATCATAATTTCCCTGTTTTGGCTTGAGCATTAACTAGAATGAAATTGCATCCTTTGGAAAGTGTTTGTATTGGGGCTGATTATGGGGCTGTCAATTATTTCTCATAGATATTTTAATTTGCACATAGAGTGAAGTCAAGTTATGTACTTTTCAACTTTTCAAAATTGTAATTTGATTAGTGTAAGAGAATACTAGTTTGAAGTAATCCATTTTCCATTTTAATTGTTTATATATACTGTATATATATACACTCACACGGATATACAAGTTTAAAAAAAAGTGTCACTGATAGCGGTTCTCTGTAAACAACACTAAGACTTGACTCAATTGATTCATTGCTGATCATTCTTCTTATTCTAAATGACTTGGTCCCCCAAAAAGGTGCAGCATTCTCCACCTACATCACAGCTGTGCCATTATCATCTGATTAATGCTGTAGATTCAACTCTGTACAATTTGACAGCTAGGCGATATGGAGCTTCTATATTAGCTCTCTCGGATGTGGTTAATTCTACTGGATCCTGTAGTGTTGTCTAATGCTATCTGTTAGAGTAGCATGCTTGACTAATAATTGCGATAATATGAGCCAGTAATTTCATTTGAGTAACTTACTGGGTCAAAATGTCATCACAATGATCTATAATGATCGGCGTTAGAAAGCAAATGCTGTTCATTTTGACTGCAACACTTAATCATTTATCTTACTGTTAAAGAGATGACGTGTATAGTGATTGGTTTCACATAATGTTCCAAAGAGCAAAAATAATGATGCTATAATGTTTGGGGAGAGTAAATCGTGTATATTAACCAACATTGATTTATATTCATTGACTGAGATTGAGATTGAAACTGAGGGTGTGTGAGTGTGTTTTGACGTTCTTTGTTTATATATGGATTTAGGGAGGTATAGTGGCTTCCAAAATCTGAGACCACAGTGATGTGTTTCTGTTTTGCATTTTTCTAAATGAACACAAATATTTGTATCAAACATTATCAGTATAGTAGTGTATTTTAAGTTTACTTCAATCTGATGATCTAGTCCTGCGTGGTTTGAAAATGATCAAAACATCATCTTGTGCTTCAGTGGAAGGAGAACTGACCTTTTGTATAAAATTCACATGCCCAATGTATATGGAGAGAGAGAAAGAAGAGAGAGGGGAAAAGAGCAGTCAGAAGCATATGTGTGCTCGGAGGCAGTGCTCTCTCCTGTCTCGCACTCACTGCGCTCGTGGGCTTCCAGATGCTCTCTTTTTCTCTCTGTATGTCCATCTTGCTTATTTTCTCACTACCCTTCATTTTAAATAACTTCAAAATTATTCTTTTTTCAAAACTTTTTTTTGAGATCCAATAGCTTGATTCTTTTCCCCCAAGACTTGATTTGAAGAGTCACCCATGTTTACCCATGTGACCTTCCGTCAGAGCTTCATGGATAGGTGAAGGTTGTCTAAGGCTGGCAGCTATGACAGCTGTTCAGACAGTGACCCTTTCTCAGTCATAGGGCATTTCCTCTGGCCAAATCTCATTTGTAAAGGGCATATTGCAGGTTAGAGGATCCAACGAGTCAATGCATAGAAAAATAATGTAGGAACTAGATTTCCTTTAAAATATATTTATAAATGTGCTACAGAAGCTTCTGTAAATTTTACTTCCACGTCTAAAAATGGGCGTGGTGGGCATGACGTAATGCGCGGGAGAGCGGTCGATGCAAATAACAGGAAAACAATGACATTTTGGACATTGAGGGAATACTTACTCGTATGTCGGACAAAAGTCATACAGTTATGAGCCTGCTATGCTGCCAAGAGAACGGGGATGGGCCAGAATTAACGTTAGACAGACCGGTCAGAGATATAACAGAGATATTTGTGCGATATAACAAAGTGAAATAAATCTTACCGCAGACCATATACCTTTCCATAACACCGATAAACTCCACCTTTTACCTTGACCACGCCAAGCACCGGAAGTGACAGTGGAAACGCGACTGGCACGCACTAGCACAGCTCGGCCCTGGCCCGACTGTGGAAACGCGGCTATTATGTAGATGTTTGGGGGCTAAATATTCTATATAGGAAGGGAGAAATCTCTCATTTAATTTAGATTTAATAACAGACTCCTGCCTAGCCAATGGCCACTCAATGCTTAGTTTTGATACAGCTCGAGTGAGAAGCTCCATGAGCTCTTCGCTTTTGGGAGTGTGAGGTGGTGAGTCCTCCACATCTCCATTATCAATACTGACAACATCCAGCTCCTCAGAACTGGATAGTTGCAGTTTTGGTGCCTCAGCTCAGGCAGAAGAAACCTCAGAGCGTGTTTCTGAACCCGGCGCTGAGGCACTGGATCTAACAAGTGAAGGGCCCGTCTCTAACCCCGCTGTAAGCGTTGTCGCTCTGCCTCGGCAGAAGCAGGACCCGAACCTCGGGGAGCGCGGACCGAACCACTCTTCTCAAAGAGTGCCCAGTCGAAGTGGAGCGTTCTCAACAGCAAACGTTTGCAATGCTCGCAGTCAGCACCTTCGAGAGCTGACTAGGCATGCTGCACTCCCAAACAAACAACTCAAAGAATGTGTGTGTCCCCAACCGTTAAATAGCGCGTTAAACTGTTGTTTGCTTGCCATTTATATATATATATATATATATATATATATATATATATATATTGTTTGTGTGGTGTAAATTGTGATAACTCCTGCCTAGCAAATACTACACACATGACAGACATACAGTGTTTACACTCAGACAGAGTTACATATAGTGCTTACTGAAGGCATAGAAACTGTTGCGCTTGTGTTTTGGGGTGCTTTTATAGTTTTCTGGTCGATGACGTTAGCCGCCTATGACATCACTCCATTGGACTGATTCCATACGTGTTTCGTGACGCACACACGCAGGGGCGTTCTCACAGCGTTTGATGCAGCTCGAGTTCCCTTGAAAGGGAAAAACAAACTCCTATATATAAACAAACTATTGTGTGTGCTGAAGAAACTTGTGCACACAGAAATATTTTGCATGCTCACGCATTACAATTTCCATTTGCTCAAAATTAGATTTTTTGTTAGGGCAGTATACCTCTCACATCACAGCCTTACAGTATGTCCGCTTTAATGCATCCTACTTTATGTGACGGCCGAGAAACTGTGCCGTGAAATGGGCTGATGGCGCATTGGCGCATGTACTCTCTTTATGCATGTATTGGTCATGTTTATCAGATGGTGTTAGGCTACATTATTTCTTCATTATTATGCATTATATCACATTGCCGATTTCCTACACAATGCTATAATAAATACTAACCTTGATATCACATCCTGACAGATAGCTCCAGATT